CAAAAATAGTCTCTCTTAAAAAAAAATCGGCTAACAATTACACGAAGGGCACAGCCCAGGTTTAGTTCAGTAAATCTGAAGGGCAAACTGACCCCAGCAAGTAGCCGCTGCTGAAAGAAGCCCACCTTGAGCCTGTGATAGGTGATGGTGGTCTACTCCAGGGCAGAGGTTCTTCAACTGTTTTTGGTATTTAAATCACCTGAGGTGTCTGCTGAGACTGTAAATCCTGGCCCATCCCAAGGGAGTCAGATTCTGTAGATATGGAGGGTGCCCAGAAATCTGCATTTTCAGCAAGCACCTCAAATGCTTCTGAAACCCCTGGTTCCCACAGCCACTTAAGACTCTCATGGGCCCCAGGCACTTTGGTCTTTGTGGGCCTCTTACTCTATTAAGTATTAAGACTTGCACTTTGAAACTTCATTGATATAAACATGAATGTAATCGAGGATGGATTATACTTATTTTTTAAAGAAACTAAACCATTTTTGTGGACCCTAAAAGCTCAGGGACCCTAGCCACTGTGCCTACTGTATAGGTCAGCCCTATTGTGACTTTAGGCACAGGATGAGCTTGTATTCCTTAATCTCTCCAGCCTCTAGGGTAGTGGTTCCCAATGTGGGTCACACGCCCCACAGGGGGCATATTGATGTTTTGGGGGGGGCAATTTTAGAATGAGTTATTAACAGTGAATTTTTTGCATTTCTTATGGTTCTAAGGGCCTCATACACAGTATATAAATATATATTGTGATATATTTATGTATTTCAGTTCTCTTTGTTTTGAAACTTTGCTGTTTTTTTTCATATCACTTCATATTATTATTTTTTAACAATTTCTTAGTGATTTCTTCCTCAGTACTTCAATTGTCCTTTCATTCTTTTGTTTTTCTCTTTCATGGATGCCATGTTCTTTGGAAGCTTATTTAGACCAAGTTAATGGCCTTTAAGGCTTCCTCCACGTGAATGTGAGTTCACTTTATGAATAATAAGAATTGTATGTGTCACAGGGAGTGGGGGGACATCAGGTTTTAGAGATACTGAGGTGGGGCATGGCCAAGAAAAGGTTGGGAACCACTGCTCTAGAGTAAGTGCTTTAATAATTGACTTCCACTCACTCAGGCAGCTCATCTGAGAAACAGAGGATGAAACGGGACCGAGGTACCCAGGTGGGTGACATCCTCCCCCTTTCACTCTATTCTCTCTCAGGCTCCCCAGTCGCAGAGAGCCAGGACCTCTTGCTGCATCATAATCTCTTTATTTGAAGTCAGGAAATTTATCTCCCATTACCTATTTACACTTCAAGTCCGTTCACACCAATGTATTTTTTTAAAGTATATTTTTTATTGATTTCAGAGAGCAAAGAGAGGGAGAGAGAGATAGAAACATCAATTGATCGGCTGCCTCCTGCATGCCCCACACTGGGGATCGAGCCTGAAACTCGGGCTGGGGATCAAATTGTGACCTCCTGGTTCATATGTCAACGCTCAACCACTGAGCCACAACATTTGGGCCCAATGTCTTAACTGTTTCCAGCTCTGCATGTGAAAGACTATTACCTCTGAGTCAAATGCTTTGTCCCAGAGCAACTTTCAAATGTTTCTGACCTACACTAGGAAATACATTTTATATTAGGCTTAGTACACACACATATAACTGAAAAGTTTTATGGAATATATTTACCCTAAAAAAAATACTTTTCCTGCCAAGTTTCACAGAATACTTACATTTACTATTGAATTCATTGAAATTACCTATTATGTCCCATTAAAAAAAATGTTGGTCTCACTCACTAGATTGATTTTATGACTCACTAATAGGTGACAGCCTGCAACTTGAAAAACAATGGTCAAAGGAGTAGCAAACATAAAAAATAAAATGTTTGAAGACAAACAGTGTGTATTTCTGCAATAGAGATATACCTATTAAGGTTCATGGACATCATACCCTTGGCTACAACATCCTGTGCCCCAATGTATTTGATGGACTATTGCCAACAAGGCATCCTTTTAAAAATAACCCGCCCAGATATTTAACAAACAGCTGCCATATTCTGGTCACTGATCTGGCTCTGCAAATACAGCAATAATCAAAGTCCAAACCCTCATGCTGTGAGATTCTGGTTGGGGAAGATAAACACCAATCAAATAAATAGGTAAATATATAGTGGTCAGATGGTGGTAAGTGCTGCAGAAGGGTTTTTCCAGATCCTTCTACCCTAGTCATGTTCACACAACACCTCCCTCCCTCGCTCTCTCCTGGAAAGCAGTTTTTAAATTTTTTTTTATTTACTGGTACCTTCAGTCTGAAGACTGAGAAGGATGGGGCCAGTAGTGAGCTCATCAAAAAGGTGACTTTATCTTTTGTTATGTATTTGTTTCAAAAGTGGTTACACAGAGATAAATATGCTTTTCTAATTTCTAAATTCTTAGAGAGTAATGGTAATAATTATCTCCAGATCTTCCAAATGTAATGAGTGGGATCAATTTCACCAAACCAAGCTTTTAGTCAGTTTCAGGCGTCAGTAGCAACCAGGCCCTTTTATTCCTAGGGCTGATGTTCCTACAGGTCCCAGTTCCTTCCATATCGGACCCCCACCTACTTTTCTCCTGATTGGTATCTTGCCATGGATGACAGGCATTAACAGTGAGAATTCTGCAGGTATTAGAAGTGTGATCATTTCAGGTCAAGGCTAGAATCTACCCAGTAGATGCATTACACCAGGGGTTGGCAATTTTTGTTTTCTATAGGGGATAGTGAAGATTTTCAGCTTTGTGGGCCATAATGCCTCTGTCACTACTCAACTCTGCCGCTACAACCCTAACCATCATAGACAACATATAAACAAATCTCATGGCTGTGTTCCAATAAAACTTTATCACAAAAACAAGCAGCAGGCTGACCCCTGCTTAAGGCTGATGGAGAGATTATTTCCTATTGAGAACACTTGGGGCTTACATTTGAAATAGGCTGAGGAGATGGGAAGGGAGAGGAAAGAAAAAGGCTCAGAAAAAAGGCCTCACAAATAACGAAGAGCCAGTTTGGGCAAAGAGCAATGTACATGCAAGAAGGTGGCAAGCGGCTGAAATTTAACTAGGCAAAAATAAGTACATATACAAGCCTGTGCAAACTGCTTTTCATTGTTTCATCTTTTATTTAAAAATCACACTATTTTAAAAATGTTTAAAATATTTAAAAGTCATTTTCTATTACAATCACAAACTCCTTCCTTGTATCAAAAGTTGTGCCACTATCTTGGTTACTTGTGGATTCACCAAGCAGTCCAGTAAGTCATCTGTAGAAATGAATGTTTGGGAAGGGGCCATAGTACTATTTGAAGCAATCTGTTCCACAATTTCATTCTCACGTCCACTCATCATTCGTTGCTTCTTGGTACAGTGCAATTTGTCAAAGTGCTCTCCAGCTTTGCCAACAAAGTCTTTACCATCATTTTTAAACATGCCTCCTGTTTCTGAGGGTGGATCTTCAGAACTCGGTAGTATGGGAACCAGATCAGGGCCAAAGGGACATGCTGCCTGCTCTCCTACTGTTCCCAAGGTTAAGTTCTGGCTGCCTGTTTGTTCTACCTCCATGAGGTTGTTGTGCATGTTGAATTCTTCCTTTTTCATGTGCTCTCCATTTGTTCTGAGTGCTTGGATTTCCACTGTCTTAGATGTTCTGTAATGATCAAAAAAGGCAGAAACAGCTCTATTTAAGTAGTGACAATTGACTTCATGGGATGTTTCCTCAACCTAAGGAAAAAGAGAAATCTTTTAAGTGGTTACATAAATTGGAAAATAAATCTAGTCAGGGTTGATTTATTACAGAATACCAACTGCCATGATGGAAACCAGGAGCGGCCTACCTCCGTTGGGTTTAACCAAGCCCTGGTACTGTGTGGGTCCTCTGCAGTTTTCAGGGCGCACACAAGCATGCGGGTGATTGCCTCTTCTACCCGAGCCTGGTGGTCCTCTTCCTAAGTTGAGATAAAAACATCATTTTTTCACTTGTCTCTCTGTCTCATGGCTTACAACAGAGACTAGCGTCCCTTAATTGTGTGTTCTGTTCTCATCAACATAAGCTTTGTTACAGAAGGAATGGCAGACCACAGTTTTTTATGTGTTCACTATCATCTGACATCTAAAAGAGCTGTGGAATAGTTCACTAACCAAACTTACATATATATCCTGTCTATAAGGCATAGGCCTTGAGTATGAACTGTCCTGTGATGTTTTTTACATTCTCTCTATTCTCTGACATGTATCAAGCAAAAAAAAAAAAAAAAAAAAAGTTTTACACTACATATGGAAGAATAATCTCTATAGGAGTTGATATGCTAATTATTTGAGGAGTGGAAGAAAATTTCAAATAAACATGCTTAGCCACAAGAATATAAATATGTGAAGACACAATAAATATAAATATAGCATTAATGAAAAATTGTACTAAAATTCACAACTTCTGTTCCTCAAACACATAAGAGAAAAAACAAACCAGATGCCTGTAACATCCTTAATAATAAAAGGGTAATATGCTAATAAGACCAGATGTCTTCCAGACATCATTCCGACGTCCTTCCTGATGAAGCTGGGGCCAGACGGAAGCCAGCCGGGGTCCTGGGTGACTGTGGGAAGCCAGAGGGAAGCTAGCCCGGGTACAGGTGCCTGCCGGCGGTTGGAGGAAGAAAGCCCGGGTCCCGGATGTCGGAGGGAAGCCAGTACTGGAAGCCAGGGGAAGGAAAGCCTACCCTTGCACAAATTTTCGTGCATCGGGCTTCTAGTTTAGTATAATTGGTATGAGATTAATATATAGAATATATAAAGAATTTTCGAAGTTCAAAAAGAAAATGACCCAATATTTTTAAATGGACAAAAGACATGAAGATAAGCATTTCAATAAAAAACAATTATATAACTAATAAACATAAAAATATGCTTAATCTCATTAAAAATAGGGAAATATAAATTTTGAAACTAGTAAAAGAGGGTTTGATAATTGCAAGTGGTGGAAAAATGTGCACAGACAGACAGAAATCTTACACACTAGTGATGGGAGTGCAAACTGATAGAGCCACTTGGAAAAGATGTTGGCATTATCAGTAAACCTGAGTATTATGTACCCTACAGACCAGCAATTCCACTTTGAGAATCACACATATTCTCTAGAGAAACTTGTACTTTTGCACAAGAATATTCTATTTATAAAAGTAAAAAATTGTAAACAACCCATTATCCATCAATAGAACAATGAGCCAATAAATTGTGGTATATTAACACAAGAAAATGTACCACAGGAAATGAATGAACAGCTACATGTGACAACACAGATGAATCTTAGAAACATAATACTAAATTTTAAAAAGCAAATCCCCACAATGAGACACCACTTTACACTAGGACAGATATAATGAAAAAGATTGGTAAAATTGTGGAGGATCCAGAATCTTCTTATACTGCTGGTGGGACTGTAAAGGGTGCCGCTGCTTTGGAAAACAGCCTGACGGTTCCTCAAAAGGTTCAACATAGAGTTGCCGTATGTGATGGTTATTTTTACAAATCAACTTGATTGGGCTATGGTGCCAGTTGTTTGGTCAAGCACTGGCAGAGATGTTGCTGTGAAGATATTTTCTAGATGTGATTGATATTTACAATCAGTTGAATTTAAATAATGAAGATTGTCCTCAACAATGTGGGTAGACCTCATCCAATCAGTTGAAGGCCTTAAGAGCAAAAACTGAAGTCAGTAACATAATCACAAATGAAAAGGATTCTGTCAAGATGGCTATTGTAAGTAGTACTCTGTACCCAGTTAGTAGGATATAGTCTAGCGATAAAAAGGATGCAAAAAATATTAAATTTTACTAACAAGTTTTATAGTTTCTGAAAAGAAAGTCGCATATGGGTACTAGAATGTGGAATTGTAAATTCCACATCTTAAAAAACATTGGTGGATAAAGCAAAGAAGTAAATATGTAACTGTTATTAAGGACCCAGAAATTCAGTGTAAGAGAAGAGATTAAAAAAAAGAAATAAATAAAAAAATCCCTATAATGATAACTTTGAATTAGTAGTATAGGTATATCTCAATCAATCAATCAATCAATCATCTATCTACCTATATTACATTCTAGCTTCGCCACTTAAAAAGTCTTAAAACAGTGACACCAGTAGCAATGAGCAGCCATAGAACCCAAATCTGAATTTTTAAATACCATTCCCACTAAAAGGAACCTTGTCCACTTGGAGAAATTATTGACTTCCAAGTTTGGGGCAGCGCTTAGTACAAGGCAATCCTGGGGTATCTACTATGTACCAGAAAGCAAGGATAATCTCAAAGATTAATGGTGACATACCAAAAGGGCACAAGCCAGCCTGAAGGAGTTTCACTAAAAGCATAAATGAGACTCAAATTCAAAATTATCTTGGGAAGCTACAATGCTCAACCAAATAGATATGATGAAAAGTAAGAGAGATGACTAAAGAATAGGACTCAAATTTAAAGAACCAGCTTTACAGATTCAGGATGAAGGACAATCTGATGTGGCTGCTGATCATGTGAGAAACACATGGATATTGTAGAGCTGGGTATGAGCCGCAAGTGAGATAAGATTACTAAAAAAGTTAATGTAGTATTATGAGCAGTACTGAAGAAATTTAGGATCACGAGGTAGAAATCTTATGCTCCACCAAATGAGGCCCACTGGTTTTCAGTTTTGGGTGCCGAACATTAAGAGGGCTATGCTTGGCATAACAGCTCTTTCTCCTCCTAAAAGCAATTTCCATTTTTAAATACTCCCCATGTGCCAGGCACTGAATTAGATGCTTATACATGTTTTGCCCAATTTAAACCTCACAGTCACCCTACTGAAGTGAGTGCAATTATAATCCCTGTTCTACCAGTGAGGAAACTTAGGCTTCATAGCATTAAGTAACACCTAGGTTAGACAGCTAACAAAGGTATAGACCTGGGTCTTAAGTCTACCTAACTCCAAGTCTACAGCCAAAATGGTGGAAAGTCTGAAAAGAAAATCACATAAAAACATCGTGCAATAAAAAGAGGTTTTGAGCCTGGAAGAGATTAAGGAGACACATTGCAGGTATTGTAAAATACTTAGAAAGGAAAAAAATTGTGTATAGTTTCAGAAATAA